GTTTGGGCTTGCTCCTACTACCTGTCTCCAAAACTACCACTAGCTACAGTTCAGGGCTCGTTTACTCCACGACTCATCGCAAAAACCCCCACAGCAAAGCCTGCCTCAAGCCTGAGTCCTACAAAGTCCTCCAACATCTGCCCATCAGCCCATGCATCCCCAGGGGCACCCGCATGCCCTTGGGCATCTCACAGGGCACAAAACACTAGTCCTCAGTGTCATGCTGTAAAACCACTGCTCAAAGTATTAGCAAAACAGGAAAATGAAGCCACAAACCCCATGATATTCAAGATTCAGAGCCACAGAAGTTGCAGAGGAGCAAGAATCAAGCACTGTGCTGTTTGGTCTGTGCTGTTGCCCCTCTGCTACTTAGCTTGCAGCCATGGGCAGGGAGGTTACCTCCAGCTGTAAGAGCTGCCAAAAAAGCTTTATCGCTGCTAACAGTACTTCTTTCCACCTGGAGCTGGGCAGGAGGGTGTGAGTGAAGCAGTCCTGACTGCCTCACTTGCCAATTCTCCACTCCCCATCTGCGCCATGTAGGGATGGGAGCCGGGACCTGCTTCAACCCATGTGCAAAGAAAACTCTCTAAGCCCGGAGTTGCAACAGGGTTCCTTGCCAGACCCAGCGTCTGGGGGCTTCTGCAGGATGGAGCCCCTTTGTGAGGCTCTGCACCGTTTGTCCTCCCCACTAGGTCCTGGCTGGACAGGCTGGCACTTAGGTCATCTGCTCAGCTAGGCCATGCCCTGAGGAGGGGTTTGCAGCTATGCCAGCACGTGGAGCTTGGTCTGAGATTCCTTCACAGGGTCAGCTGGCTGGTTTTCCTTTTAATAAAGCTCCACGGAAATTATTCACTTCACTGGACTTCTCTTTGAAGGTGATCCTCTACGGTGGTAATCCTTTGAAGAGCCAAATTTTGTCCTCACACCCCAGTGGGAGGCTGAGGCAGTGGTGGTTTTTACATGGCATATGGATAGCAGTAAGCAAATTCACTTCAACTTGCTCAGCTGGGTGCTTTGCAGCTCCACAGCCAACTGCCTCCCTACAGAATAAGCTCTGCATAAAATGATGATGTAAATTTTTCTTATCCTGAAATTCAGCAAAACCTTCTTCCTGATTGAGCAAATGTGTTGGTATCTTGCAGTGCAGGCTCTCTCCTGGCGGAACGATGTAAGCAGGAAGGAAGCTGTTTTGTATTCAATTTAATTTCCCCAGGGTTATATCTTAAAGAAAGCAAGCGCACAAAAATGAGATGCAGATAGAAGGCTAAATTCTGTTCTCATTTATGAAGGGGTAAATGTACAGTAATCGTACTGATACCAGGGTTGTGCTAGAGCTAAAGGGTGACTGCTGGAGACCGACCTGACATGGGAAAGCGAACAAGAGGGTTCTGAAGAGGAAAACCTGCTTATCCCCTGGTCCTCTCACCTTTTTCTCTTCCAGCCTTTTCCTGGGACAAATTCTGCTCCAGATTACTGTGTAAAGTCCATGCAGCAGGAGCCCAAACTGACCAGAGCCCAACAGCAGAACTGCTCCCCCTTTCCTTTCAGCAGCCACACCAAACCAGGGCTCGGTTTTATTAGAACACAGGTTAATAAACAAGAGAAAACTCCAGTCTCCTGGGAGAAACATCTGGGGGGAAAAAAGACTTCCAAAGAACTCTCCCTCTGCCCATAGTGCCCGTGCAGGCTGTGCCTTTCCCTCCGGTTTCTTATGTCTGTCCTTTGACTTCTAGCTTTTTCCAGGGCTGAACCAGCTCCTCAACTTCCTTCCCAATGCTGCCACCATGGAAGCTCAAGCCTTAGTCTGTTTTCCACAGTCAGGTAGCACCCTGTCCCCGGGAGGAGATTCCCAGCCCATACTCCCTCAGCAGTTTCCCATTTGCTCCAGGACCCAAGTTGATGTTGATTGTTTGCATTCACACTCCTGCACCTGAGAGTAGAATCTGGCCCATGAAGACCTTGAAGATGAAGCTCTAGAGAACAGCTGTCTCTGACCGTTTCTCTCCCTCATGTCTCCTTTCTACTCCTGCGTATTTTTCACACCAGGCATTGCACAGTCACCTACTGTGGCATCTGCCAGTGCTGAGCAGACTGTGGTGCTTCAGCAGTTTGTCCCCTTGCCCACCACGATGGTCACACAGGAGGACATCGAGGGCCTATATAGTAGCAGCGCTAGCACACAGCAGACACAGGCAGGATCTAATCTATTGATGAAAGCAGCCACCACCTACCGCTTCTATCCAGCACTTTCCACCAGTTTTGCTCCCTGTTTGGTGGTTTGCTCACACATCAGGAAGATCTTTGCTGTTTTCCTTCTCAAAGAGTGGTGGTTTTCTCTGACCAGTTAGGGGACAGGGAGGCTGGGCTTCCTCTGAAGCTTCCTCAGAGCTGCTCCTGTAGATGCCTAGAGGAGCTCCATGGAGATGCAGCACCCCATGCTCCAGCCTCCTACCCAGTCTAAGTTATCTCAATGTCAAGAAGAGTTTCTCTAAATACAACTTCTACCTCTGCCCCTTTCCGTCTTTGAAGAGTTATCTTGGGGACCAATCAATTGCATTCCTTTTTAAATGCATTTCCAGCTTCTTAAAAATAAAATGATTGCCGGCAAATTTATCAGTACTTTCCTCAATGCCTTGTGATGCATAGCCAGATGAAGAGCCAAAGAAGGATGTGATACCTAAACTAGGACACAGGCAAGTCTAAAGACTCTTAAAAAAATCCTAAAACTCCTTTTCTCCACAACAGCCCAATCTTAACAATTCTGTAGGTCCAGGACACCTTTTTCTGACCTGAAGTTTCTGTAATTGGCCTATTTGATTTGCAGCCCCTGGGTTATGCTCTAAACTACCCTGACTTGGACAGCTCAGCTCCTGGCTCCCTGAGCTCACTTGGCAAGCTCAGTTTTCTGCCTCACCTCCACATGGCACCAGTTTTCTGCCTCACCTCCACACTAGTTCTTGGCTTTGGATTCCAGTTTGTGGAAGAGAAACTTAAAACAGGCTGTTAAACTGAAGGGGCATGGGAATTGTGGATCTGCCCTTGATCATGATGTTTATACCCTCCCCCAATATTTTATCACTTGTTTTTTAGCCACAGCTAGTTTCACTGACTCTTTCTTCTTTCTTACTTTACTGCCTTTTATCTTTCTAGTAATTCACTAATGGATTTTCTTTTTTATTCATCATATGTAAAGCACATTTCTTGTTCCCCATGGCTGTTTTGAACAGCATTGATTCATTTTTTGTTTTCTGAAGTCCTTTCTGCTTGTCTGCAAACACTGTTTTTGCTGCTAAGATTCTTCCACAGCTTTCCTTTCCTAAATCAGGTGCAGAGAGGGAGGGTTTGAAACAAACACCCCAATTTCTAAGTCCCCTCTGTGATAAGACATGACCCAGAATGTGCTTTTTTTTCCTTTTTCCACAGAACTATGCTGTTTATACACTGCATTTATACTGGGTCCAATTTTCAGTTACATCTTCCATAAATACTTACCCCAAATCTGAATAGCAACATTACTGCTGGGTGGGAATTGAATGTCCCTTTTTGACAGTAATACTTAAAACTTTCAGTGGCTCCCTATCTTTCTTCCAAATCTTAATGAATCCACAGGAGAATATTAAGCAGGGCACGAAGGAAAAGTCTTATCGGGTCTGGAGCTTCTGGGAACATCAAACCCAGTTGTACAGTCCTGACCAGTGACCACAGTTAACTTATCTACGACAGCTCTGAACCCTTCGAGAAATCATTTGGTGGCTTCCATTTCGTTCTCTCTGAATACATCTCCAATCCAGTGGACACTATAAATGATAACTTCAGCAGAGAGGTCCTCATTCAGCAAAACCCTTAAGCCCAAATGTAATTTTCAGCATAAGGATACTGACATTGAAATCCATGGCAAAAGCTACATCCCTGCCTGTTGTACTAGACTGGGACTCGCCAAACTCTTGCCCTTTGTCTGTCCTAGCAGAAATGTGGTCTAAACCCCAGGATCCTGAGCCAGATCACAGTGTCACTTTCTATTCTGTCATCTTCTCAAAACTGCAGAGAGAGATGAACAGCACAAGGGCAGATGAAGGGACGCCCATTGTTTCATTCTCGTTTGGGCCCTAATTCAAGTTTAAGGCTGCTCCTTCCCTGTAAGGATGAAAACAGGAGCACCTAAACACTATTGCTTGACTGTAATGACCTTTTTTCCCCATGTCTTCTTTCCCAGTTACAACAGGAATGTATGCTGTAAAGTGGCTGAGTATATATATAATGTCAAACTCTTTGAAGATCAATAAGCTGCAGTTTTACACACATTCTTAAGCTGAAACCTCACTTGCCTTAGGTGCCATTGTGAAGCTGTGAGGCTGAACCTCTGAATATGATGGTCAGGATTTGATCCTGTCACATGAAGAAAGCCATGAACAGCTGCAAGTGCTTTTAAAGCAGTCACAACCACAGCTCTTCTGCTTCTGGTTCATTCAAAGGGACCCCTTCCTCATTCGATCTCCTTCAATGGCACCGCTTTGTTATTTCTTTCCTACTGGAAATTAAAGAGTGAATGAAAATCTTGCTATTTGGGATGGCATTAAAAAAAAAAAAAAATAATGGCGAATAAAGACATTTTAATTGCATGGGATTTCTGAATAAGGTTTCAAAGTGGGGGAAAAAAATAGCTGTGTGCCTGGTACACAGAGAGCCCTTTCTCTTCCCCTTTGTGGCAGAGGAATCAATGGAATTCATATAAAAGAAGGAGGGGGGTGGGAAGAGAGATAGGAGATGCCTTGCTCGGTACCAGCAGGTCACAAGTCTCATGGGGCTCGAGCAGGGCTTGCAAGGAAGTTGCTGACTGTATCTCCATGTGTACCTTTTTGTTCCTTGCCTTGGATTTGCTGGTCAGTGGCATGCTGCTTTGCCTGGCTCTCCATAGAGCTTGTAGCCTACAGGAATTTGGACAGAGTGGTACAGACATCGCCGACAGAGACTCTGATCACTGACTATCCCTTTAAATGCAGTCTCATGACTTAGTCTTTACTCCACTACCTATTAAAGAAGGAGACAAGACGTACATAGACAGCTTCAATTCAGACACCCAGAAGGACACAGAAAGGCAAGACAATTTAACAGAGCTAACTGTGAGTAAATACGAGGCATTAGAAGTGCTCTTTAGAGCAAAGGGCATGGAGAAAGATTTGTAGGAAATCCTGAAGTGAAAGAAGGTGCAATATTTTTTAAAATATACTTGCATACAATGTTCAAAAGGCAAAATTCTGTAAAGAAAGCTATTCTGTCATTTTAGCATTATTTCTTTAAATACGAATCTAAGTGTCTCAATATAACGTTGACCAATGCTTGATTTCCCATAAAAATCCATAGCAGTGATTTTATGCTGCAAGCACTGGAGTGTTTTGCAAATACAACCTTTTTTCACTGGGATAAATTTCACAGAAGAAATATCTGGGGCGGGGGGAGAGGAATTTGAAGCCAGCCTTTTGCAAACTTAGATCTAAAGCCCAGTCTGGAGCTTCCAGTTAAATACCTGCACCTCATGAGGGGTGGCCTTCCTTCTGGGAGTGCTGGATGTGACCCCCTTTCTGCTGGGGACAGAAAGGAGCAGTGGGTACAGAGACCACACTAAGGTGTCCCATCATGTGTGCGGGTAGCTAACTTTTTAATCAAGGGGCTCTGTGTCTCCACACACTGCAATGGCCGACCATCCTATATGGGTACAGCATTCTGGAAAATTCAGTGCTTGTCAGTCAGCAGATTCATCAGCACGTCCCTACATCTGTTGTGGGGTTTTTTTACACAATAGCTACTGGGTAGACCTGGGCAAGTATATTAACAGTGATCATTACTATTGCAAGTGATATCTTAACACTGATGGAAAAAGAAAGTTCCTCTGTCAGCTCAGCCTATTGCTTTTCTAAATATATCTTTATTATTCATTGCAGGTATGCTTATCTTGTGGAGAGTGTTCCAAGCTCGCCTTTATGTTGCCCATTTTCTTCTCTGCATTTATCCTGTCTGCTTGCTGCTTAACCAAAGGAAACTGCATCTCCTACGATGAGCTGAAAGATCTGAAGACTGAATTTGCCATCAATCTGTACCAGCAGGTATCCGAAGCAGAGAACAGAACCAATCTGGTAGTCTCTCCAGCAAGTGTGGCTGTTTCTTTGGAACTGCTGCAGTTCGGAGCTCAAGGAAATACCTTTACGGAGCTGCAGGATGCCCTAGGATACAACATTCATGGTAATGTACTGCTTAAAAAAATACTTCTTGTCTTAGATTTTGCAATAAATTCACAGCTTTACTAAGGAGACAGTAATTGCACACATCATACTAAACTTTTGTCTTCTATCTCACTGCAAGAAGTAGCTTGGGAGTGTTTTCTACATCTTTGATAGGCAGGTATCAGCTGGACGAAGGAAACTCAAGGGAGTGTTTGAACTCAAGGGAGTATTTGATAGGCATATTATTCCTCTTTTTTCTTGATCAGTGCTGAGTCTTTTACTGCACCAAAACACAACTACATCTAGAAAAGCTACTTCCATGAACACCAGGATTGCTTTTGGTTTCCCTGAGGTTCATAGTGTCCATTGTGTCCTGGCCTCCCCTATGTCCCTTGCGAGGAGGTGCCAGGCAGAGGACAGTCGTTTTCTCTCCAATCCCACATATGTTTTCTCTCCTATCCCGTTAACAAATTTTATGAAACCTATAGAAATTCAATTGCCTTTAAGACTTTGCACCTTTTTCTAATGTTACTACAACTGGCCAAAAAGATTAAAAGTTATTAGAAGGAGACTGGCAGAGAGATATAAACATTGACAGATGAATGGTGCAATTGCATCTTTCCCTGAAAGCAGGCTAAAATATAAACTCACTGGGAATCTGGAAGTGATATGGAAAAGGCAGATGTCTTAAAATCTAGCATTACATCAGCTGAATTTAAGGATGCTGTTTTCATTTTAGCTCTGGATTATTCTACCATCTCACATTACATGTCAAAAACTATTTTACATCATGGGCACAATGTTTATGAAAAACAGATGACTGCCTCATCCTCAAAACTTACAGCTTACATACAAGACATGTATAGAGATGACACTGCTATGTCTCAGCGTAAAATTTACTTTCAGCATATGAATACTAAAGATAAAACCTACAGCAATTTCACCATCCTGTGCTGTAACCTGCCTTAATCACCATTACCATTCTGTATAGCATTGATATTCAAAACCAACACAGCAGTAAGAGCTAACCCTGGCTGATAGTGTAGATACAGCTGCATCTACTGACACAAGAACAGTGCATCTATATTATGAGCTGATATAATGAAGTCTTGCCTGTAAGACTCCAGTTTCTGTAAATTCAGTAGGGTAATTTTAAACAACATTAATTCACACAAGGATTACCCCTTGCTTCTCACTTCTGGTCATTAGGGGTTCAGTTATTAAGAAAGAACCTTAAGAATAATATTACACAGTGGAAGTCAGACACAGATCTCCACACAAAATGTAATGAAGAGAAGTGAGGAGGGTGTTAACAACATAGTAGCTCTTTTGTGCTGCCTTACTTCTTCTTATGTGGTACATCATATGAAGCAGACATTTTATCTCCGTTTTAGTTGTCTGTGGCACAAGCCACATGAACTTTGGCTTTCAGTAGTATTAATACATGAATGTGAAATTATAGTAGGAAGGGATCTATTGCCACAGCACACTTCCAGTGACGGAGAAGAAAACCACTTCCTCAAATGGTTTAAATCAAATAAATAAATTGAATACTTAGATCAAATTTCCTATCAGATGAGTAAAACCAAATCACATATGTATGCATATCTGATAAAATTCCTTTCTTCCATTAGATGTTTGCATTAATATTTCTATTGGTCTGTCTTAAACAATAATGAAGGATGTGGTTAAAACCTTAGTAGGCTGAAAACAATGAAAACATTGATGGTTCATCTGCTATTCACAGAGAATCTGCTCTTACATGCACTTGTAATCTTCTTTTAATGTTTGGAAGACTTGTTCACCTTTATACTAGTACTACGAAAAACAATGTATAAATGGATGTCTCTCTAGACAGCACAGACAAAATGACATTCTTTAAAATGCTTTCTCCTTTCTGTTTTATTCTATCAATGGTAGAGTATTTTAAAGTAGTTTTGAACTGTTTTCTGAGTAAGAATTCAGGACTTTGGTTAGCTAAGCACTTCGATATGTCTGAAGTTACAAACTCAGGATACCACACCTCACGCTAACATCTGCTTCCAATTTACCATCTTTGATTTCTTTTCTTGCATCCTCCAGAGAGCTTGCCAAATGCTCCTGCACTAATACAAAACACACGAGAAAAGCACTTTACACCTCAAACCGTGTGAATTTCCTTGACATCTGCTCAAGGAGTTCAATATTTTATCCCTTAAAGAGTAATAGATCTAAATGTTAATACCAAACTTCCCATAGGTGATTAGTCTTCATTCAGGTTATTAAAGGAGCACTATTAGGTCAGAAAACATGCACTGGATTCTCACATTGTAGAAATCAGTAGACATGAAATTCCCCTCTTACCCCATCAAGAATCTGAACTAATGCAGTAAAAGTCTCCTGATGAGACCAGGGTCCTGGCTGGCAGCTGTAGGCCTGTGGCAATCCTGCCCTTGACCTGATGCTCAGCCTGGGGCAGGTCAGTCCAGGCAGGATGGATCATTCCCTGGTTAGCCATACCAAACCACCCATGTCCCATGTGGCAGCCCAGCCTGACTTCCTTCCAGTGCTGCCTACACCCGCAGTCATCCGGAGAAACTGGATGATGCCTTCCTTTACCTAAGGACTCCCTGAAGTCAAACCCAAGACTTCCAGCCTGGGTCATAACACCAAGCCCAGACATGCCCACGGGGAACCAGATACCTGAGGGCTTCCTAGGGCACCCTGGCTTTTCAGGCCAAGGCAGAGGAGCACCTGAGCTGAGTATAGTACCCTGGAGAAGCAAGGGATACAATAAAGATCCCCCCCTTGGAGATGGTGGATGGCAATTTGTTGCTCAGGTTTCACACAGAAGTTGGGACACCTGGTGCCTCTTCCCTCAGGGAAAGCAGAGAGGTCCTGGTGGTCCCACAGAGCCAAGAGGCACTGATGTCTTGCTGAAGAAGAGTAAGCTCCAGACATTTTCCAGTCCTCAGAGGAAGCTTATTTATGGGAGGAGGAACGTGCTGGAAACGTCTTAAAGACAAGTAACAATCATCTCATCAAGGCTTTTATCGGCTGGATGTAGGCAAGTCTCCTCCAAAGCACAACAAGGGATATGGGAAAGGGGCTGAACCACGAACACGAGAAGTTTGAGGAGATTTGAAATAGAGCCCATCAACACCATTCAGACTGAGTGCAAGTCCCAAGACTCAGGAGGTCACCTCAGCATGAACCAACCCATCACAAACAATTACAGTGAGCAAAATAATGACAGACAGAAACGGCTGCAAAATTACCCTTCAGGGGAGCTTTGTGATTTTAAAACCAGAAGATCTTCTAAGTTTGCAAGACTCATGTTCCTGTTGGGCCCACACCTCAACCCTGTATCCATCACAGAAGCCACCATCATCCTGACCTAGTTGAAGATGCTTCTGCTCATTGCAGGGGAGTTGGACTTGATGACCTTTGAAGGTACTTTCCAACCCAAACCATTCTATGATTCTATGAACTACCATGAGATCCCCGGGAACAGGAGACTGGGGCACTATTCAACTATTTCCATTAGTAGACAATGAACTATAGAATACATTACTGACTTTTTGAATTACTCTGAGCTCATAGTTGATACAAGCATTTTGGAAGATCAGAATAGAATTTAAAAGGGTCCCGGCAAATAGGAGAAATGCGTGAAGTGAATAGGACACAATTCAATAAGGTTAAGTGCAAAATTCTACATTCAGAAGGAATAATCAGCCATTCAAATTGGGGAACAATAAGCTGAAGAATAGAATTTTAGGAAAGGATCTGAGGGCTTTTAGGAATTAAAAATAAAAAATAATATTGAATACGAAATATAATTCTACTTCAGAAAAAGCAGACACTGCTGTGGGTTGTACGAAGAGAAGAGTTACTTGTAACACACTCAAAGGAACTCACCACCTCATTGCCAGGGCTCACTCGCAGTAGTGGGCCAGTTTGCGGCACCATCCTTCAAGAAATAAGACCACACATGAGGGCCAAGGGTAGTAGAGACAGACCTGAGGCAGTCAGGGAGATGCCTTTCCTGGGATGGGTGGCATAGATAATGGCAGGAGAAGGAGATGACAGTATTGCAGCATCAGCAGCTCAGCCAGTCATGGCCAGAGGAAATAGGAAACCAGAGACATCCCAAAAGAAAATAGTGTTCCTTATGAACTCTGAGAGCTGTGTTTGCATGGAGGTGTCAGCCTGATGTGAAATTGGCCACTTGACATATCTGCACTAGAGTGGTTTCTACAGCAATATGAAGAACTGTCCTTGACAGTAGTGCTTGACAGTAATACCCCATAAAGTCAAGGGTGCTTCAGTTGCTATAGTGCTTTAACTTTCAGAAGACAGCTGTGTCAGCACTGGCATTGAGACCTGCCAAGTGCTGCTGCAATCTCTGCTGTCCTTCACCTCAACATGATAATTGCACTTTCTTCCTCTCTCTTGCCTGGCAGATCAAATCGTGCAGGATTTCTTACATGCAGTGTACGAAGGAGCAATCAACTCCAGCCAAGGCACGGTGGTTCAGCTGGCATGTTCCTTCTTCGTGGATGCCAGCGTGCAGCTCTCGCCCATCTTCGCTTCACGTGCTGTGGGCTGGGCAAACAGCAGCCTGCAGCAAACCAACTTCACTGACCCCAACAGAACCACAGCCCAAACACAGGACTGGATCACTGGTAACCTTGGAGGTATCATAACAGCCCGTGAGAATGATTGCACATGGATAAAATGTAAAATAAGAGTAATGAGAGAACCTGTATTTAACCAACTATAAAATTTTTTGCCACGCCCTGTGTTGTCCAAACCAAGAGTGAGAGCTGAGAAATCTAGTTCTTGTGCTGATGCTCATTTCTAATCTGAGGAAAGAGCTGGAATAGGTCTGAATCTGTGAGTATAAGTTTGTAGTATCAAGCTGGTAACTGCTTGGCCTTGTTCCTCTGATTTTCAAAATGGCAGTCCTTTGCAGTGTTTCCAGTTTTAATGAGGAGCAGCCAAGTTCCCCAGGGATTGAGTTTGCTGCATTGAATGCTTTCATGCTTCTGTGGGGAACACACAGGGCCATAAGCGCAGCAGTCAGACTCTGAGTTTAAAAAGTCAAAATGGGAAATAAAACGAACTTACTTTGCACACAAGCAAGAAAAATAATTAAATTAAATTCTGTGTTAATGAAAAAATAATTGAAAAAGTAAGTCCTTAGAAGCAGCATACCAAATTAATCCCCAATTTGCCCCATTAGCTTAAGTTACATGAGTGTTAATTTGGCCATCAACATGTAAAGTGATGTTAAACACACACATTAAGCTGCTATCGAAAAAAAAAAAATAATTCTGTCCTTCTCAAATGAACTGTAATAAGTGATCCAGCTTCATGGTAGAAAAGTATTGCTCTAGAAGCAGGAACTGAAATGGGAGTTCGTACTGAGGTACTAATAGGAGTATCGATGAATTAAAAGTGGCTCACACTTTCAAGCATCTTTGAGATAACCAAAGCAGGATCAGTTGAACTGCCAGATAAATAAGAGAGAGGGAGAATTAGGATACGAGCTTCAGTTGTTGACTTAGTTACTTCATAAAGCAGTCTGTAATCACGCATCCATTTCACAAGGGATTTCTGGCACTAAAGATGAACGACTGCAAGATACATGTGGGCCCGTTTAAGCTAGAAGACCGGTTAGGGCCAGGGCATGGTGCTGAGCACCAGGCTGCTGTCATCCATGCTGTCCAGCAAGTAACACAGTCCTGGCACAACTTTGGCCATCAGCACTGCCTAATTTGAGCTTGGTTCAGAGGACAGCATGGACCAACAGGCAACAGGAGTGAGGTCTGTGCACAGGTAGGGAGGGGAAGCCAAAGGATTTAGCAGTGCCTTGCGAGTTGTGCCTTTTGTCCTTAGGAACGGAGAGACATCCCAACTTGTTTTATTTACTCGCACAGACCTGGTCTCTAGGCCTGGGCGAGTAGGATGGCATGTGTCCCCCTCCCCTCCTCTTTTCTGTGCAGATGGGGACATGCATGGCATGCCGTTGGGGAGCGCTGTGTCACCACTCAGCCAGGTCACACTGGTGAGCACCATGTACTTCAAAAGCACGTGGCAAAAGAAGTTTTCCTTTATGGATACCCAGATGTTGCCTTTTACCACAGCGGAGGGCTCAAACCTGAAAGTGCCCACAATGCATCACACAGCCGAAGTTAACTACGGTAACTGTCCTTGATTTAGATTTGCTTTATTGTACAACACGTAACAGTTTTATTTATTTAATTTCCACAGCTACCACACTAAGATGTGTTATTTTCTTAGCTTGGAGAAGTCTCAGAAGAAATCCAGTCAAACAAAGGGTGACTGAACTGACTTCTTATAATCCCAGGCAATCACAAAACAGATCCTGTATTCAAAATGGTTCCTGCCATTGTCCATGCCCCATCCTTCACAGACCAACACCTCCCAGCACTCCGTACCAAACTTATCAGCTATAGCATACATCTGAAAGGCACCACAATAACATGTCAGGACAAGGGAACAGGAGAGACTGGAGGTACTTTGGTATACAAAGTCCTTTGCAACAGCAGGGAGCTTGTTAAATAAAGCTGCTCAGGAAAGGAGGATCCTAGGAAGCACATCTGATCCCATGACAGAGGGGCAGTTAGGACTAAAACAAGATCAAGTTTCTACCAACTGGATTTGTGAAGCAGGTAAAAAATTTCTAAGCTCTTCAGCGTAATCACTGTTTGTCCCTTGAGTGTGTGAGCACCAGAGAGAGGATAAGAGCGCTGGGAGCACCAGCACTGCACACCCACACCTCCTGTCTCTGGTCACAGCCTTTCTCCAAGGCTTTAGGGTAAAACTGTAAATCTTTAGGGACAAATTCTACAACAAAGGGGAGAGAAAATTTTATGGCCCTTACACCGAATCAGTGGATGCTTTCAGCATGGGCTTAAAACAGTATAAATACAGGTCAAACATTTATTTGTATACTATATGAATATAGTGTATGCTCCTTTCAAAGGCCTGGAGTACGTGGGTTACTGACTGAAGGACTTGTGCTGTGGGCTCAATTTTCTACCACCAGGAATTCTTCCATTTAGCTCCACAATCCCTTTCAAAATATAAAAAGCTCCTTCCCCTTCTACCCTAAATTTCAGAACTGCATTTTGGTAAAAACCTTCCTCATTCTAAGTCTAAATTTTTTCAAGACCAATTTATATCTCTTAGCATTGTGCCAGCTTTATCCTTTAAGTTAAATAATTTCTCTTCAGCTTTGATATTTACTCCCTAATGTATTTGCCAATCACCAAGCTGCCTCTCAATTTCCTGTTAGCTAAGCTGGAGATGCTAGGCTTTTCTAATCTATTAAAAAAACAGATACTCCAAATCTCCACTAGTCCTTTTCTGCACTTTTCCAATTTAAATTAATCTTTCTTGAAAATAAGTGACCAGGAATGTACATAATACTTTTAATGAGGTCATACCAACGTTCAATAAAATGCTTAGTCTTTCTATGACTTGTTAAAAATACCTTGTGCAGTGCACCATAGAATCAGGTCAGCGTGGTTACTCAAGGTTGATACCACCTGGGACTTCTTTCTTTCTCCATTTTTTTCCAGCTGATGAGACGTAGGTATATCAAGGAGAGGGAAATATCCACAGGTACATACATTTCTTGTGGTTTTAAACCACCTTTTCATTTCAAGCCCTGCAGTCATCACGGTAACCTTGCTGTTTGACTTTTTGACAAGTCTTGAGCGTTGGCAATGGTTTGGAAAGGCACTGGTAATTCCTTTTCGACCTGGGAGCCTGACTTTTAACTTGGCTCGTTATGGTTTCCCGTTCAAGTGAATGCTTGCTGCCTTTTGTTTCTTGCTCTAATTGCCATCACTGCTACCTGTAAATAGTGCCATAGTGAAACTATGTTTAATGTTTTACTTAAAGCTAGATGGCTGGATCTATGCCTTTTTATCAAATTAGTTATCAAGCTAAAAAAACTTATAGATTTGTGTGCTGAGGTCAACCTGATGTTGCAATTGATCTCCCTTTCAATTTCCCTCTGTGACTTCATTATTCTTTTCTCCATAGTATGTTCTGAAACTTCTCAAAGACCTAAAATTTCCCAGATCACTTTCTTTTCATTTATAAATATACTTCTCTTTTCCAGTCGTGGGACACAACTGAACCTACAGGTCTACTGAAAATCTTTGCTCACGCATTCGCAATTTCACATCCAAGTCTTTTCATATTCTGGGGTGGTGATCATCCAGGCCCCAGATTATTATTTGTCTCTCTGAAGTTGTTTAAACTTTGTTTTTGTCTCTGGTGGTGTAATACCTCCTGTTCTTTCCTCATTTCCTTTAGGAACCTCACCATTATCCTTTGCTACTTCATCAGATTGTTTCTTTCCCATCAGTTCCAGTAAATAATTTTTTAGAATCTAAAAAAAATTAAATTCACAGTGTTCAGCAGCACCATTCTTCCTTCCTTTTTCTCTTGCTTATATGGCTAAAACATTTTCCTTTTCTGTGCAACAGTCATGTGAGGCAGGCAGTTGGCCACTCATTACTTCTATGCCTATTTATCTCTAAACCATAATTCACCTGGCTAAGGAATCAGTTTTTCCGCTCTTTGCAAACAGGTCCTTACTGTTAGGTCTTTCTTTGTGGTGTTCCTTCTTCTGGGACATCCATGGTGTGTCCACCACACTTCTTCCTCCTGCTAGGACTGCCAGCTCCTGAGTGCCTTCACACCCCTGAGTTGGAGTGCTGCCATCCTCTTTGCACCTGAATCTTTTATAAGTTAGTTGACTTTACTCAGAAGTGCAGAGTTTCCCTTTCCAAAACCCTACACCTTATCATCCTTGCTGTTGAGGCATATAAACTACTACATTGACTCATGATCTTTCAGCCCCCTGATTTTGTATCACCAGCTCGCTGCAGGGCTTTTGCTACTTTTGAAATCTGGAATGGCATTACCCTTCATTGCTTCGTGAGCTATTCGGTTAAACTAACAGGTTTATTGAGACTAACACACAGCTATTAGCTCAAGAACAGACCTTTTCTCCAAAATTTGTCTTTTAGTAGAGTGAGATAAAGAAATGAGAGGTCTAAAATGACTGAAGGCAGGGAGCTTATACAAGTGGAGATCTTTGGTAAAGACCAGTGATCAGAACTCTAGCAGCTGAGCTGCAGACTGGCCATATATGTACTCCTGAGCCCTTTCAAACTTGATGTGAAATCGTCAGTTGTGGTCATCTCACCATTTGCCTAAACACAAGAATTCCATCCTATTGTACTTAAGTCAGTAGCCGGAGCATTAAATATTTGCACAGAAGAAGAAAGTTAACCAAAATACTGGAATTACCTTTTCATCTGGTCTGAAATGTGTGAGCTCTCCGCAGATGGAGAGACTTTTGAGGAAAGTTGAAATGAGAGTTATAATTTAAAATTTGCTGATTGTCAGATTTGATAGGGCCAATTCAGTCTTTGTCACTAGAAATGTTAGAAACGTTTCTAACGGATCAGTTTGAAATTAATACAAACTACAGCAAAGAGAGGCATGAGATAACTTTCCTTCATTATCAAATTATAGCAGCTGTCTACCATCAGGATAAAAACACAGAGTAAGATAGAATAGCTGTGGCCTGTTACCAATCTCAGCATTTACAACACTGTTTATCCTTTTAACGTGGCCACGGATAACAAATCAACCTGGGGACAATTAACACTTCTCCAAGAAAATGTCAACATTACTATTTACACAAGCCTTATAAACACTGCAGCTATTTTACATATTCATTTTTCCAAGAAATTTGTTAACTATATTTGAATACTGATTTAGCATATGTATAATTCTTATGGGATGCTCAAAAGCAGTTCAAGTTAGGAACACTAAATGTTCTGACTCAATAATCTCAAGCCTTTGATTTTCTTTCTAATTAAGAAATAAGATCTGTATAACCTTTGCGCACAACATGCTGACTTAAAAATATTGGCATGCCCCCAGGTTAAACCACTTATGTCCAGTGCTCTACAAATGTAAATCTTCCCTGCTTGTCTGTTACAAACCAGAAAGTTTTTTGTGGCAAAGTGATCCATATGCTGGGAGGTGGTTTCAACAGTGCAGTTCCCTCTCCATGTTGCACATCAGGAGGACTAATCTAAGAGACCGAAAATTAATCTAGCAGAATACAAACACTTAATGAATCCTATCTAATCCAGATCTGCAAAACTAACAAATGTTGTACACTAAACATTTGAGACATCCTATAGCTACCCATTTGTTGGCAAATATTTAGGTACCATGAACATGAGCTACCTATATTCTGTTATTTACAACCACTGACTCAAAAAGCGTGAGTATCCACCCTTGAAGATACAACTAGTACTGCTGGGTGAAGAGGGAGTAGATTAGTTTTGGATGGCCTGCAGCAATGGCAATGGTAAGCCATTTGCTTGCAACTTGTATTTAACTCCTGGCCTGCTAACTACTGCTGATATTTCTGAAATGCTATTTATTGGATTAACAGATGAAAAAATAAGAAACCAGAATTGTGATAATTGAACCTGTTCTACTGTACAAAAAAGTCCATTAGAGATGCCTGGACTAATTGTTCATTGAAAATATGGAATTAAAGCGGCACTTTTAAATGGCTGTTACAAATTGTTGCATAACTAATTACAAGTTCAGGAGCCCATCAGCTCTTACGTTTGAAACTAGTTTTTATTACCTTCATATGATTTTGATATGTTTTAGGCCTAGATTTTCAAATATAAGAAATTTGGTGCTTAAATAAGCATAAACCTAACTACTTTATTGTTTAATGTAGCTATTTGTTTCTTGAAATAAAGTTACAATTGATTTTTAGGAGTAGTAAAGATAGAAAAATGAGGCACAGTAGTTTCAGTCAATTCAATAAGACACTCCCAATTTTGTTTTTGTAATTTCTTTCAGTAGTGAATTTTTAGTGAACCGTATTTGGTGGAAATCACAGAGAAAATGGTAAGCTTATTCAAAGAACAAGCACTGCAAGAACAGTCACCATGAAGATACTGGCATTGCCTTGGTAATGTTTTTTAGACTCTGAGCAAGGAGGACAGCTACTATACGAGAAAGTAATAAAATACCCATGTTCTGTTAAGACAGTGCTTCAGGTCCTATTACTGTCATTGGTATTTTTCTGCCAAGATATATGTAGATATTTATTTATGTGTTTGTTTGTTTGTTTATTTTAACACAGTTGGCTCTGTTCAGATGAGCTACTGTTGTGAGTTAAGAGCAACCTGAGCTGGCTGCAAAAGCCCATGCGTTAGAGGCAATGCCTTCTATCCCACGTCTGGGGTTCTGAACCGTCTGCTGACCCAGGTTTGGGTTGTGGGTTTCAGGGTTTTTTCCCCATATGAATGACAAAATAAGATCTATATTTGCCCACTCACAGGCCAGTTCCAGACTGCAGCTCTGGAAGGTTTCAGCGTGGTCGAGTTACCCTACCTGGGGGAGAAACTCAGCATGTTCCTAGTGCTTCCCAGTCACAAAAGAACATCTTTGTCCCGAATTGAGTCTCACCTTTCCGCCAAAACCATAACCCTCTGGGCCAACAGCTTAAAAAGAACAAAGATGGACATTTTCCTACCTAGGTAAGCAATGTTAGTGCTCCAAGACGGCTTCACTACTCCAGTTGTCACAGAATTCTGTGTGATAGTGCTGACACAAGCAATGTGTGAGGCAAAATGAAATTAGATGCTTTCGTTTTTGTTATTCATCACATGGACAGAAAAGCTCTACCCCTTTCTTAGGCCATGAAAAGGTGAGGCGGGAATGCTAAAACTTTCTGGTATGCTCCGTACTGTTCTAAAACCCAAGTATTTCAATTGATCCCACAGCTTTTACTTAAAATTTGTTTGGAATACAACAATCCTTTAAGGAACCAAAAAAGAAAAGTGTTCTGGCCCTTTCCCACACTCCATTTTTCTCTTTGCTTAAGAAAGAATAAATACCTTTAAAAAGATGGAATAGCTTATTTTTACAACTTGTCAGTGTGCTACAAAAGTACCCTACAAAGAACTTGGGGCCCCCCACTAGTCATACCATCTTTCTGTGCACAAAGCCAGTTTCAGCCATCCATTTTCCACATTACTCATTTGCCGTTGCCAGTAAATGCACATATCCTGGAGGTATTTTCTATCATCTATTCAAATTAAATTACATAGCAGGAGGAATCAGGTGCAGGAGGGCCTTCTGTGGCTGTAGCTATTGTATGGATCAGCATGGAAGGGCTTCATTACTTCTCTTACAATGTATTCCTCACGTTAATGAAGCGCTGAAAAACAATTTGTACATTAGTATTCTTTTTCTCCAAGATAATCTTTGGCAAATGTTTCAATAGGCCCTTTGCTACAGCCAAAAAGGTTGTTAAAAAGGGGACACTTGGGGAAATGCAGAGTACATGTGTTGAAAAGACTGAGAGGTGGTCTGATTGCAATAGTGGTGGCGAGGGATTCCTTCTGTTAACGTCTCCAGGTGAAGATGAGTTGCTTTTCTGCAAAGTACACTTAATCAGATGGAGCGCAGTGGGCTCCTACAGAAATAGATGGATGAAATGCAAAGGCTTGAAATAAATTGCTTCTGTTCCACCTTTTAGTTCTATGAAACTACAAATCCTGAATTTAAATATAATCTTTCATATTAATTTCAGGTTCAGTATTCAAAGCCTTCTTGACCTAAAGACAGTTTTTTCTGCCTTGGGAATCAGAGACGCATTTGATCCCATCACTGCTAATTTTAAAGGCATTTCAGGTAAGAGACTTGGCTGAATAAAACAGAATCACTGACCCAATAGTTGTAGACTCTTACATTTGAATGATTCAGTAGACCTGGACCTTCTGATTTGATTGTACTTGTTCCTCAACGAAACTCTAAAACACAGTTCACACCTAATGGTTCTACTTTATTGCTGGCAATTGTATTTTGAGCTGTTTTGTAGGCAAGAGGAATCTGAAAGGGACAAGGTTGGGTTTGGTCTTGCCCTTTTTTTTATTCTCCTTCTCTTTCTTTAAGATTAAAACTGTCAAGACAGTGTAGGCCTGGAAACAGTTATTTATTCAGAAATTTAGGATGCTTTAGTACATCTTGCATTCCTATTTGTGTTTTTAAATAGTCATTTAACAGTTAGGGATGCTGGTCCAACAAGTCTGTATTCCAGTTCCTGACACTGCAAAAAATATTGGCACATGCTCATGCTATGCTGTCTTGCTAATCCAGCAACCAGTGGACTAAAGTATACTTTCCCTTTGCTAAAATATTAGTGTTACAATTGTAAACTGCCTTGATTTTGGGAGTCTGAAATTATACCACTCTGGGGAAAATTTTTGTGCCTATTAAATACTAAAATAATCCAAATTATCTATTTTCTTTTTCTTTTGACTACTTCCAGCAATATAAATTATTTCAACTTAGATATTTCTGCTCATACCAATGATTCAGTGGCTGCTGCTCAGAAAAATGCAGAGAGTTCATGCAATTCTTGTGTGTGTGAGTGAACAAATTAAATTGCTCCAATTCAGACAAACCTGCTTTTACAGAAAATATGCCTTTCTGGGATGAACCTCAGAAGGAACATTACTTATTGGGTTTTTTACAGCACTTTTAAATTTGAACATGGCATTGTTCTATAACCCCCGTACTCGGCACTGGTGAGGCCGCACCTCGAATACTGTGTGCAGTTTTGGGCCCCTCACTACAAGAAGGACATTGAGGTGCTGGAGCGTGTCCAGAGAAGGGCAACGAAGCTGGTGAGGGGTCTGGAGAACAGGTCTTATGGGGAGCAGCTGAGGGAACTGGGGAGGAATCTGGAGAAAAGAAGGCGGAGGGGACACCTTATCGCTCTCTCCAACTACCCGAAAGGAGGTTGTAGTGAGGTGGGTGTTGGTCTCTTCTCCCGAGTAACAAGCCATATGACAAGAACAAACGGCCTCAAGTTGCGCCAAGAGAGGTTTAAATTGGACATCAGGAAAAATTTATTCACCGAAAGGGTTGTTGAGTACTGGAACAGTCTGTCCAGGGTATTTAAAAGGCATGTAGATGTGACACTTAGGGACATGGTTTAGTGGTGGACTTGGCAGTGTTAGGTTAATGGCTGGACCTGATGATCTTAAAGGTCTTTTCCAACTGAAACAACTCTATGATTCTAAGATTCTATTGCAGTATATATCTCAAACTGCAGAGAAATGCACATTAAAATAATTTGTTACTGCCCGTTTTTTTTGTTAAAGCCTACTGCTTTGTTTATTGCAAACAAATGTTAATATACCGATAAAGTGATTCATAAGATAAATACTTTGAGGAAATTAACTTCATCATAAGCAATATCATTTAGCAGCTTCTTTCCTATGTATGCAACTTGGTGGTTCTCGTCATATGGAGTAAGGCTTGTAAAAGTACTGTTCCTGCCTGTGGTGGGGTTATATATTAAAGGTTATATGGAGGCCCTTCTCAGTTCTACTCTTACACTACTTAGTTTTGTATCGTAATAGTAGGGTTATAGCTATGATGGCCTAAGTGTTACGCGAGGCAGAATTTATAAGGAAGGTTTATCTTTTATTTAACTAACAGATACAGTTGGAAAAAGAACAGGTAAGTTTTCAGTTCCTCTTCCATACGAAGCAGGATCTGTAATCTTTAGAGTATTTACTCTCTGACCACATTTAGCAAACAAACCTTTTACTTCATTTCAGACCTGGAATAGCTTCTCTATGCCTGAAAGCTTCTATTTTTTTTTTCCCTCCAAAATATGTTAGATTTATCCAATTAAAAAAATTCTGCCTCTCCACAGTTTTCACAGAATCACACAGAATCACAGAATG